GATAATACACGAAAAGCCCCCACGTGCAGCTCGCTTGTGTGTATTTTAGCACACGTCGTCGTCGTCGTCGTCGAGAGCCAATAGTCGATATATATTTCGCGGTAATATAATGTGTCCAGCAAGCACTGCCTTCGAGCGGTATAGAGAGGTTGCGGGCTTCGAAAGGCTCGCCCGCGCGTGGGCGAATTATGCGTGCGTGTACCTATTTCTGCGCTCGGCGATGGCGACGACGACCACGACGACGACGACGAAGGTGGGTTACATAAGTTTCGTATATACATTTTACGCCAACAGCTGCAAAGAAAACGATTAATAGGAGCTCGTTACGATCGCGCGGCCAGACCTTTGCCAGAGCTTTTTCAGTTCCTGCCTGTGTGTTTCTGTGTTTGTGTGTGTTGGCAATTGCGTGTCAACGATCCATCAAATCAATGGTGTCTGCGTTACGTATACGCACACGCGCAACAGCGACGAACGGCGAGATTCGTATCAGGTTTCGCAACCATGCACGCGCCGCGCACACGTAAAGTACGAAGGACCAGATAGAAAAAAAAAGTTGAGAAAAATCCTTCCTTTCCTTATTCTTTCTTACGTGCATGAAATAACGCTTCTTTTCTTTCTCGCCGAGAAAAATATATATTTAATGTTTTTCCGTCGCGAGAGTACGGCACACATATACTTTGTGTATCCTTATACCTGCCTATATATAGCACATGTGTGTGCGCGGCGGGCACACGTTGCGGTTCGTCCCGCGTATAGGAAACTATTTAATACCTCTGGGCTCTCTCTCTCTCTCTCTCTCTCTCCCTGCGCAGCGTATGCCATTAAGGTGTCTTAAAGCTCGATCCGCTCTTGGTGTGTATAGGTATACACGTATACCTACAAGTACGCCGCGAGCGTGCATATACGAAGCCGCGCGCGCATATTAGTAAACCGCTTAAATCACGCCTATATGTGTATAGTATTATACACGGGAAGCATTAAGAGCGCCTCTGTGTCTGGGTGTGCTCCTCCTCCTCCTCCTTCTCCTTGGTGTATTTATTTCACTTTCTCACAAATGCACGATATATTAACGCGGCTGCCGCTGCTGCAGCTATGCAGCATGCATACGTCTATAATGTAACAGCGTTTATATACATACGTATTATGTGTATTGTAATGCTTCTGCTGCTGCTGCTGCATATGCGTGCCACGTTGCGACCCACGCGAAAATCTTTAAATACATAGAGCATAATATAATTCGAGTGCTGTAATATGTATTACACATTTGTGCGATATATTATATACACGTGTACGTGTGTGTGTACGATATGTACTAGGATATAAACGAAGCGTTTTTCCGTGTCGAATTAAGCGGGCGCGAGCTTATACGTGTATAAATAATGCGCGGATACGTATCCAGCGCTGCAACTTATACTCCTCCGCTGCTTCTGCTTTTGCTTGTGTATGCACATTCGCATATCACAATGTGTATTAATAGTGCAGAGCACAAAGATATATTTTATTTATATACGCGAACGAAGTGCGCTAGATACGTCAAGCGCTCGAGCCAGCTGGGCCTATGAACTTGCCCCGAGATCCTTTAAATTTGGCTCAGCTGAATCTTTTCGTTTTTTAAATCCCTGCGCGATCGGCAATAAATTCTACCCTCCCCGTATTTTGACGCGAACATAATGTAATCGTTCAAAAAAAGCTCGGTTCGCTGGTATTCGATAAGCACACGGTGTGCGCGACGACCACCTATAGCGACTATAGAAAGCGTCGTCATTAGATATCTCGGGTTAAAGTCTCGGGCCTGTGTGCACATTGTTCGCGCTCGTTCGGCCAGCTGATCTTTAAAAATATAGATCGCAGTCACAAATATATTATATCAATGCGTAGCGTATATAAATCACTGCTTGGCGCTTGCGCGCACGCGTGAGTACGCATTTATGGATAGCTCTCACAGAGCAATCGGCGTCTCTCTTATATTTCATTTTCTTCGAGATCGAAAAACTGAGTACAGAGAATCAATCGCGCGCAGTGAAAGAGGCTGTGTAATTCGAACTTGCAGATCGGCGATGATCGAGTGACAAGTCTCCATCATCGATCCATGAGAAGAGATCTTACACGCATTACGCGCGTCGATTGAAATTCAACTTTTTCCTCTTATTCGAATCTCGCACTTGCTCGAATGTATATGCGTACACAGCTTCCGATATCTTTGGACCACGCCTCGACCGTGTCAACGCAATCTCGTTGCAGTCACACGACACTCGCGTCAATAGACAATCGTGAAAATTCAATGGAATCCGCGCGAGCTCCGATTAGAGCGACACTGATTTTTTAAATACCGAGTAATGAATCAACGATTAGTGCTTTACATGTGTACAGCCGAACGCGTATAATAAGTGTAACACATGTGTGTAATAATGATTGTATGCCATTATGGAAATTCAGACTCTCACGCGCGCATGTACACACGTTCTCTCATTCATATACACTTATACTACTATTACGATTTCGAGAGACTCGAGAGTCGACTTTCGAATCGGCACGCACGGCGGGGTATGCGCGACTCGCGCGCGCGCGCACGCGACTATTTAAAAATCGTTAATGGCAATGATGATGATGACGATGTTTGGGAGGGCTGCATATACACATTGCTTTCGAGTAAAAGTCTTAACTAAACGAATACAACACTCTCTCAGCCTCGTAAATTAAACTGCGCCATTTGTGTCTAGTATTCGTGTAGTATTCGGTATTCGTGCGCTGGAAAATCCGTCGATTGTACGTGTGTATCGTGTACACCATAGAGCGACGAAACGATCATTGCGATCCGATCATTACACGCAGGCGCACGGACGGTGAAATGTACGCACGTAGCGATCGAGGCGACGACGTCAAGCCGAGACGAGACGTATACGTATACGCCAGAGGAGGTACGCGATCGAATGTTAATTATCCGCTGTATTATGCTGCACGTACACATAGACGCGGGTGTACACACGTACATCCCCCGGTGAAAGAGGAGTAGAAGGAGGAGTATATATACTGACTAGGACGACGACGACGCTCGGCCCGGAAAACCTCGATGATACGCGCGCGGGCACAGCTAATAGTCACTGTATATATACTACGCGTATGCCTGACTCAGTGCACTATAGCGTATATATTCACCTGTATATACGCAGAGCTCGAGATCGACAGTATATACGGAGCTGCAACGGCGCAACGTATACGTCATATTGCGCGCACAAGTGAATCGTGTCGTGGTGGTATGTATACGGGGCCGCGCCGATCCCTTTGTCCGTGTGCATCGGGCACACTGGACGCGATGATATGCGTGTACCACCAGCGAGAGCAGCAGCACAATGAGGCTGTGCGACATCCAGAGCTATGTAATGCGCCGCTGCAGTCTCTCTCTTGCTCGTAGCTTCGGCTTCTGGTGCATGCATAGAGAGAGAGCTATAATATTCATACCGCGCGCTGCATTGCTTTCCCCTCCTCTCTCTCTCTCTCTCTCACTAGGCAAACAAACGTCCCTGCAGCTAGCTAGCTGTATGCGGCATGGCGTGTGCATTGTGTCCTGCACCACAGCAGCAGCAGTCCCTATGCACCGTGCACATTTATGTCGCCTTCGCGCGTTGCGTCCGTCGCTTATATGTATGTACGCAGCGGCAGCAGCTGTTGCAGCTTGCGAAAAGGCGCGCGTCGACGTACATTATAGTTAGTTGCGCGTACTACGTGTCAGCCTGGTGCGAACGGAGGAGAAAAAAAATATAGGAAACGAAAGCAACGACAACGACAAAAAAAAAAAAGAACAGAAAGAGATCGCGAGCGATACACACACACGCGCGCGCGTTATTGTACGTGTATACGCGGGTCAAATGAGTCAACAAGTGTCACGCGTTACGTTGTTGCGGTGTACATATACCACTTTCTGCACGCACTTCGAAGGGCTGCACAATGTATGTAAGCGATTGCAGTTTATTCGCGTGCTTCGTTCACCCCTGCAGAGTGTCATATAGGTATGTGTAGTAGAGTATCGCTCGTTAACGTGTATTTCAGTGTTAGATTTAACCGATAATCGATTAGGTGCCGAGGAATTATTTTTCCGATAGAGAATGAATTGCGTATTCGAAAAACTCTGATACTCATGAATCTTAGCTCTTATATACGAATCGGTTATTTATTTGCCGCTTGCGGATTTGCAATGCTCCATCTATTGGTGAAATCAAAAAGCTCGCGTTTAAATTTAACACCTTGCTCAAAGATAAATCTTGTTACAATACAAAACTTTAACCAAAAATTTTTAACAAAATTCAACAAACTCACTGGGTGGTCTATCTACTACTTCATGCCGACTCGAGGTTGAAGTATAAGCTCGTTTATTGGGGTTACTTGGTACGAGGGACTATAAATTACGTTATAATCTGACGATACTCGTGAAAAGCCAAACTCCACCGCTAGATGGCGAGTACTTTAATATCTGTAAATCTGCAAGTGGCAAAGTCAAAATAATTGTATAAGTCCGATCTTCATCATTTTTGATGACAATTTGTAATACACAAACTACGTTGTTACAGCGAGAGCACGCGGATGTCGGAGTTTCGTTGACCGGAATTGGCCGGCGCGTCGCAATGTGCACCAGTAGCGCAGTGCAGGCACAGGCGGTGCAAGGTACACACGCACACATGCGACATAACCGGCCGCGTTTATACATGTATGAAATGTCTCGGTGTGGCGTATAGAACACGGAGGCATGATGAGGCCATCTGTGCACATCGAGTACACGCAGCAGCAGCAGCACAATCACATCTCGTATATTGCTGTTATACGCGTACAATATCGTCCGAGCGCGGCTCAAAGACGCGTATTACACTCGTGCTGCTGCTGCGCTCGTCTTACATTACTATATTATATACATACGTTACATATACATGTGTTATATATCTATTATAATATACAGTATACGGAGAGCCTATATGTAAATAACCTGTTGTGTGCGTTTCTGTTCGCAGTCGAGCCGAGAAAACCGCAGATGGAGTACAATGGAGCGCTGCTGACTACCGGCCTGACCCTGCGCGAGGGACAGGACGCGTCAATATCCTGCACGTCCAGATACGGCAATCCGCCTGCCCTCATAAAATGGTAATTATACACGTATACTCATACATACATACATACATACGCCCATGGCACATGAGGCGCAATTCGCTCTCCGTCTGCCTCTGTGTGTCTCTCGCTGCTGCAGTTTCATTACCTGCAGATTCTCGCTTATATATCTGTGTGCTTGTACTATACCGCTACTACCTGCTATGCGCAATCCACTCGCACTCGCGCGTGGACACGAGGTGCAGTGTGGTGTGTGACGGGCTGCACGCGAGCTCCAGCCAAAGTCAATCGTCCATACTCCTACTACATCCTATATATGCTATACCCCTCGGTGTGGGTCGCGTTTATATAGATAGGAGTTCTGGGCTGTGCAGAATTGCGCGAGTCATGTGCTGCAAATACCTTTGATATGCACCATGATATAGCCGCGTACATATATCGTCCGGCTCTCGTGGACCGTGCATTATGCAAGACGCGCGTACTTACACGGGTACACAACATCGCTGACGCGGTTTTCGAGCTTACGTACATACGCATACGCTACATATATGCAGACTTGGCCAATTTGGTATATACGGGATAAATTCCTCCGAATCGTCGTAGCGGCGGTGTAAAGACACGCGCCCAGCTATGACATACGCGCACGCACACCTCGTGAATATTACACATTTTTGACGTTTCCACGTGCTCGAGCTTGTATACGATCGTCGCAAAGGCTCGATAATAATTCATCGTAGTATAGCCGCGTGTACGTATTTAAGTATAAAATAAAACAGTGTCGTCGACGCGCGATATATACGTATAGAGGATGGGGAAGGGAGGATTATTGTCGCTGTTGTGTATATTATAAGATTATGGGCGTGATAAAAATACATCGTAATCGTTCGATGCGTGCGTATATAAATTCTCTCTCACTCTCTACGTATATATCATACAGTCGAGCGCGCGCATACCCATATACCGATGTACGCAACGAGTTGTTTTAGCTCGATTATACCCCTCACCCCCCGCGTACGATATAAACTGCATGATCTTGCGCCGAGCCGAGCCGTGAGTGAGCGAGAGTACATACTAACGCGCGAAGCGCTGCCGCCTCGTGATTTCGGCGCCTTCAGCGCTTTTACTCATAAATCTCGCGGATATTAAAGCTCCTGCGCCTGCTGCTGCACTCGCTATACACTGTATATGCTGTGACTGCTGCTGCTGCTGCTGCTGCTGCTGCCGCGCGAGGTTGGAATAGTTAAGGTTTTTACTGCCCAAGCCGCTCGCGAGAGTGCAGACGAGAGCCTCGTGCATGCACCAGCCGTGTATAGCTATATAACAGGCGCAGTTATACGAGCTGGGCCGTTTTATTTCGGCGCGCTAATAAGTGCATTGTTGGCAGCAGCACCAGCACCAGCAGAGAGAAAAAGAGCGCGAGAACGAGAGAGCTTTTTTCGCGTTTCGAAGCACGTCGACCTTTTTTTTTTATAGATATATATTATATACATGTACCTGCAGACGCACACACAAAGTGTCAAGATAAAAAAAAGGACGACGAAGAAACGCGCAAGAGAGAGAGCTGTAGGCGAGATTTTTTTTTTCTTAACAATGCAGAGAGGGACGAGAAAATTTATAACCCTGAGACAAGTCGACGACGGGATCGTTAATAATTTTGCTCGCGTTCATTTGACGAGCTGCAGCGAAGAATATTCGTTCGTTGTGTTGCCTCGCGCGCTTTTATGTACACGGATGACTGGAGCTTCGACGCGCGGGTGGAGCTTCCAGCACCATCACCACCAACAACGACGACGACGACAACAGCAGCAACAAGGCCGAGCCGCGGCGCGATAACGATATCGGAGCAGCAATGCGCGCACCATATACACACCGCCGACTTTTTTTTTCTTCTTTTTCTTCTTCTTCTTCGTCGTAGTCTTCGTCGTCGTCGTGCCGCGCGCGGAAAATGATTAAACTAATGAAGCGATCGATCTCCCTGGGCTCTACTCTACTCAACTACTACCTACCTACCTACCTACCTACTGTCGCTATGCAGCCGGAGCAATCCGAGAGCGCCTCGAGTCTCTTCTCTTTCTCTCTCTCTCTCTCTCTGCAAGGTTCCTGCGCGGCCGCGGAGAGCTGTTACGTGCCTCATAAAGCCGCAATCTCGAAGGAAATCCAAAGCCACCGCGCGCGCCGGTCTATAACGAAGGCAAATTTATATACACATCTCGATGTATACTGGGCTGGGTCGGGCTGCTGCTGCAGCGCACGGCACAAGTGCAATATCTCGATCTCTCTGCAATGCTTATATGCTTATAGGTACTATATCTATATATACGGCAATACGCTGCACTTTACATATGGTGCGCACCGCCGCGACGATCTGCAGCAGCTTACGTTTCTATATTATATATAGCGCGCGGGTAAAGTAAACGATGAGCTAGCTGCTGCTGGTATATAAGTAGTAGTGCCCAGTGTGACCAGTGACTACACATAAGTCTGATAAATGTTCTCGCGTGTTTTATGTTCGTTTTCTTACTCTGTTTGTGTGGCTTAAAATATATGATAAAAAAAAAAGAGTAAGAATTGCTACCTAAGCGCGCGCGAGGCTAATATATAACTTTATTATGTACTGATTTATATTAAACTTAAGCCTTCTCTATGCCACTATAACTGATGCCGCCGCTGCTGCTACTGTTTCTCCGGCTCTGCCCTTCCTCCTTTTTTCGAATTTTCGCACTGCTGCTACTCCGCCTCTCGCTGCTCCGCTGCGTATACCAGTTCATATTATTGTATATATAAACATCAAATCCGCTTTCGACGCGTCTGCACGCACACAGGAGCACGCACCGGGCCAGCACAGCAGTGATACATAACACTCGGCTTGAACTTAAGCTCCGCGCGCGACGAGAATATAAATAAAAAAAAAAAAAGAGAGAGAAAATAACGATAACAAAAAAAAAACGAGAGCGAAATTAATAAAACATCCCGGGCTCTATCTCTCTCGCGACTCTGTGTGGCAAAACTGTGCACGTTATAATATCTTTCGCCGAATCGTCGCGCGCACCCGTTGATCGCTCGATTTATATTCTATCGTATTTATATACAGGCGATATATTTTATATGTATATATAATAAATGAAAAGCCGCGCGCGCGCGAGGAATTTTTTGCGTCGCTCGCGCGCCCACCCACGGCACAGCAACACTGCATCCATGCTGTACGTAGCAGTGGATAGTTATATAGTCGTCTGTATATAGTATAAAAGTAGGAGTTGTGCCGCTGCTGCTGCGCTCTCATGCACACGCGTGATCCTGGGAGAAATTATTGTCTTTTATAATGCCTGGCAGCAACAGCAACAGCAGCGGAGCAGTGGCAAAAAAAGTGTGCCTCTCTCTCTCTCTCTTTCTCTCTCGCTTTTCCAACTCTATATATAAATAATAGTTATACGTGCTGCGCCTTTTCCAATATTTCAGCGACTATATAGAGACCCCCCATGCACAAAAACATACACACACACATGTGCGCGTTCATTTTTACTCCGAAAAATTATCAGGCAGATCCTGCAGCGCAGCGCCCCACGACCTCCAGCAGCAGCGGTGGCAGTGACATTTTACAATCGCGCGGCGATTATATACAGAGGCTTCGGCAGTGTGTGTACAGTAGTTATATACGCGCAGCGATGGTAGCAAGTGTGCCACTTTTTTTGCGTTTTTTTTTTGTTCGTCGCATATCCGAACGTTTTATCCCTGAGCGTCCTGAAAATTTAATGCCTCGCGCAGTTGTATGTGTGTGTGTGTGAAATGTGCATATATTCACGTTCATACACACGTGAGCTTGCACTATTCTCAATTGTAATATGCACATGTGTGAGGATAGTATACGGCTCGCGAAATAACTCCGAGGTCTGTCACTGGCATACATACACACCCACACCCATCCTCGCATGTACTCGTGTGTGTGTGTGTGTGTGTGCAAGTAAATATATACATGTGTGGATGAAAAAAAGTTCAGTCAACAATTTTCAAAAAAACTAGCACTTTGAAGCTATAAAAAAAGCCAGACAACATCGTCGAGAGTGAGAGAGACGCGCGGGTCGATTTTTACCTCGTTCGCATGTGTGCACCGTCTCTCTCTCTCACAACGTGTATTACAACAACTCGCCCATCCGTCAATGACCAAAGATTGAGATCATAAAAAATAACGAGAGACAGACAAGAGAGAGCGGGAATCGCCGTTTTTTCGCGTAACAACCAACGGAACGACAGAACGACGACTATAAAAAAAAAAAATAAATAAATAAAACACTGAAAAAAAAAGAAGAGAGTGAGAGACAAGAAAAGAGTTTCAAAGAGCGAGAGAGAGAGAGAAAGAAGGGGCACACGAGCTGTGCTCAAAAACAACGCAATATGATTCATATCAGCTTCCGCGCGCAAGTGCATGTATACATTACTGCTACTGCTCTATGCACAGGTATAATATAAACGACCTGAGAGAGGAGAGCTACTTCTGCTGGGGCTAGTACTACGCGCGAGGCTCGTTTTAAGAGGCTCCCAATTTTGACGCAGCCACTATATACACCGTAATAGACGTATTTAAGTAGAGGGGCCCTTTTGCCGCGTTTTGCTGCAGATTATACGCGTGCGGCAGATTGTCATCGTCGTCGTCGTCGTCGCACATCTCCACGCAATAATATATATACACAGAACGTCTAAAGTTTTCATTAAAAGCTGCGTGCGGCGGTGCTCGAGCACTGATGGCTCCTCTGCCTGTTTTTTCTGCATCAGCAGACTCTCTCTCTCTCACTCTCTTCGTTCTGGGTGTTTTTACTCTTTCTCTCCCGTCGCACAGCAGCAGCAGCGGCAGCAGTTATAATAGCAACCCCTGGTCTTTTGTTGCTCGTTTTAATTCGATTACCACCGCGGCGGACGCGAGAGGGTCTTTATTATACTCGCGTACGCGTGGTTTTGTATCCTATATACACGAGGCTCGAGCTCTCTTAGCTCTCTGCACGGTATACGATGTAATATAAAGTAGCAACACACACACACGTACA